CCACCTAGTGTATTTTTCATTTCAGTTATTGTGTTGTTCATCTCTGTTTGTTTATTCTTTAGTTCTTCTAGAACTTTGTTAAACATTTCTTGTATTTTCTCAATCCATGCCTCCATTCTGTTTCTGAGATTCTGGATCATCTTTACTATCATTACTCTGAATTCTTTTTCAGGTAGATTGTCTATTTCCTCTTCATTTATTTGGTGTTGTAGGTTTTTACCTTGCTCCTTCACCTGTGTCATATTTTTTTGCCATCTCATTTTTTTTTTGTTTTATGAGTGCGTTTGTGTTCCTGTCTTACTAGTTGTTTGGCCTGAGGCTTCCAACACTGGAGTTTGTAGGCTATTGGGTAGAGCTGGGTCTTGGTGCTGAGATGAAGACCTCACTTCAGTGAATATTCCCTCAGATCTGAGGTTCTCTGTTGGTCCAGTGGTTCAGACTCCTCCCACCACAGGAGATTTGGCCCAACCCCCAGCGGTGCACTTAAGGGTTCCTCCCGTCTCCTTGGACATCAGGGTCCCCCACCAGCGGCTGGCAGGTGCCCTAGTTGTGGGGAGATACTAACTCAGTGTCTTCCCACACCGCCATCTTGACTGCCCTTCAGAAAGTTTAAAATTTTGATGACATCCGATTTATCAGTTTTTCCTTTTATAGTTAGTGATTTCTGTGTCCCATCTAAGAAATATTTACTTACCTACAGGTCACAGAGATATTCTTTCTTTATAGTTTTAACTTTTATATTCAGTTTTTAGCTTTATATTCTTAGCTTTTATACTTATGACTGTAAGCTCAAAATAGTTTTCGAGTATAGTGTGAGGTAGAAGTTGAGGTTTATTTGTTCCCAAGCAGGTGTCCAGTAGTTCTAGCACCATTTGTTGAAAAGACTTTACTTTCCCTTTTGAATTGTTAAGTATAACTGCCTCCACAAAACTGACTGAGGCATGGATTTTGCCTTCAAGAGCTTATAGTCTGCAGAATAACTTTTGTACTAGAATTTATCGCTGACTTTTCATAAAGAATAGCACATCCAACTACCGTGATGCAGGAAAAACATTACCCTTTTAGAAAAGAGACAAGGCAAAGTTCTTTTGCTCCATCCAAGAATAGTTATATAAAATAAATTACTTAATGCAAATTGCTGATTGTGGTTGGTGCTTTGCCTTGAAGGAATGCAGTACAAGTAATAGTTTAACTTCAGAGAGTTCTTGTACTTTGTCCCCAGAAGAAAAAACACTTGAATGTGTTCAGCCCTCATATTACTATTATCATTCAGGCTTTAAAAGTTGTACCCTTGACCTTAGATATTTCATAGCTTGAATAAATATTTTATTTTTGAGGGATTTAAAAATATTTACTCCTGGTTTACATAACTTTTAGATATAACCAATTGGATTTGTTTTTTAAAGAATTTTGTTTCACCATTAACACATTTTTATAATAGTTTCAAAGCATAAATGAAAATGTTAACTTTATAGCTCTTGATCTTTCCCTTTATAGACATTTATGCTCCAGACATCACTACTTTAACACTTGTTATTTGTAGATGACAGCACTTACAGCTGCCACCCATGCTCTAGATGTTTTTAGGTGACAAAGAGATGAGTTATGGTGGAAGAAGTATTAGACTAGGAGGCTCAAACACATGGGACTTAGGACTCTCAGCTACTTACAAAGTCAAGGCAGTACTTTCTTTGTGCCTTAATGTCTGGTATGAAATTGGAAGAATCATACTAGCTTCCCAAGGTCAGTATAAAACATATACACAGTTGTTGAGAATGAGAGCTTTAAGATCAGGATATCAAGGTTCATATCCTGACTGCATCCAGTTGTGTGACCTTGGGCAGATTCCTTTACTTCCCTGAGCATTTTCTCATCTTTAAAATGAGGATGATACTAATATTATCCACCTCATGCTATTGTGAGGACTGAGATAGACAAACGCTTTAGCATGGTCTCTCTCTTTTCCATGGTCTCTCACGTTTCTCTTGTGAACAGAGGTAGACACTGCGACTGCCTTTTGTTCTGAACTGTCTTTTCAAGAGATACCACTTTGGAAAGCAGAGATATGTCTCCCTCCAGAGCAAAGGGTAGATATGCTTACTACCCAATGTAATAAAGATAATGTCTCCTTCCAGATCTGTGATTAATAAATTATTCTTCATCTTTGACTAGGAGTCTTGTATCTTCTACCAATATCCATAAAACAGTGGCAAACTGGGATGAGTTGGTCACCCTAAAGTAGGGTAAAGTGTCGACCCTTTACAATTCTTGATAAGTGCAGTATTTGCCACATAGGAAGCAACCAATAACTGTCATCTTGTGTTGTTATTATTTTATTTTATTTTTTTAAATTTTATTGAAGTATAGTTGATTTACAATGTTGTGTCTAATTTCTGCTGTACAGCAAAGTGATTCAGTTATACGTATATATATTCTTTTTCATATGGTTTATCACAGGATATTAAATATAGTTCCCTGTGCTATACAATAGGACCTTCTTATTTATCCATCCTATATGTAATTGTTTACATCTGCTAATCCCAAACTCCCAGTTGTGCCCCCGCACCTCCCCTACCCCTTGGCAACCACAAGTCTGTTCTCTATATCTGTAAGTCTGTTTTTGTTATTATTTTATAAAGAAAAAATCTGACATACCAACTCAAAGTGTTTTGAAAGTATGAAGCGTTCTACACATGTTATTTATTTTTGTTTTAAGCAATTAAAAAATTTTTTTTAATTAATTTATTTTTTGGCTATGTTGGGTCTTCATTGCTGCGTGCGGGCTTTCTCTAGTTGGGGTGAGCGGGGGCTACTCTTTGTTGTGGTGCGTGGGCTTCTCATTGCGGTGGCTTCTCTTTTTGCAGAGCATGGGCCCTAGAGTACACGGGCTTCAGTAGTTGTGGCACATGGGCTCAGTAGTTGTGGCACACGGGCTTAGTTGCTCTGCGGCATGTGGGATCTTCCCAGACCAGGGCTCAAACCCATATCCCCTACATTGGCAGGCAGAGTCTTAACCACTGCACCACCAGGAAAGTCCCTACACATATTAATTATTATATGACAGAGTGAATTTGATGTTTGTTGGCAGGTTGAGTAGAATTTAAGTCAGTATTAGAGAACTGCTCATAGATTCACAGAACTAAGTGTAAGAGGAGGAAGGTCAAGGTAATTCACCCATGAAAGAAAAGAAGTTTCTAATATGGAAGATAATAAAAACAGCAAACTTTACCAATACTGGCAGAGAAATATGAACCACTCACAAAGTGCTGTTATAATAAAAATAGGCATAAACAGAAATCTAGAATTTATGAATGGACAGTTAAATCTTCCACCAGGGTTAGATTTTTTTAAACTTGCTGTTCTGTCTTTTCTCCTTACAAATCAATGTATAATTCACTGCACAACGACAAATCTTTTTGAGATGAGTCTTTTCCAGCCTTGGGCTTTTTATGTAAGGCTGGTATGGGGCATCGCCCTTAAGATCCTTAGGGAGATTTTTGTCTGACTGAATGCTCTGAAGCAGCACCATCTTAGATTCTTCTGAGATCTTAGCAACTAATTGTATAGAACCACCCACATGCATTTGACTTTTATTCTGAAGCCCTTTCTTAATCTGAGAATTTTGGAGAGGCTGGGTGTAAGAAACAGTTTTATAATTGAACTTAGCAAGTTTTAGTTCCTTTACATTTAACAGTTCTTCCTTGAGCTGTTGTCTCTCCTTTACATTTTACTATGAGCAGCAAGAAGACACCAAGCAGCAGTTTCAACACTGTGTAGAAATATCCTTAGTCAGAACATTCATTTCATTGAGTACGTTTTCTACTTCCCATGTTAACCACAGGTGATACTGTTGCTAAACCTTCTGCTACTCCATAACAATGGTGCCTTTTCCTCTAGTTTCCAATAACATTTTTCTCACTTTTCTTTAAGCTTTCACTGATAGCCTCTTTGAAGGACACAACACTTCGGTTAACAGTTCTGAAAGCTGAGGCAGATCCTGAAGGCATTTGCAACTGGAGGCTGTCAGCTAACTGTATTCCCTGCTGCTGATCCTCTCTTGAAAGGGGATTTGAGCAGTGCACCTCCGTGGCCACCACATGTAACACTCATGCCAAGCCATGTTCTACCAGTTTTTCCAATCTTGTCTCCTAACATTGCCTGCATCTCACTCTATACTTTTGCTACAACAACTTGTACTACCTCAGTATGCCTTAAAATCACACAAAATCATGACATATTGCAGGCTGAGTTAGTTGCCTCACAGCACCCTATAATAATACTTATAATAATATAAATACTTTCGGGCTTCCCTGGTGGTGCAATGGTTGAGAGTCCGCCTGCCGATGCAGGGGACATGGGTTCGTGCCCCGGTCCGGGAGGATCCCACATGCCGTGGAGCGGCTGGGCCCGTGAGCCATGGCCGCTGAGCCTGCGCGTCCGGAACCTGTGCTCCGCAACAGGAGAGGCCACAACAGTGAGAGGCCCGAGTACCCCCCCCAAAAAAAAAAAAAAAATATATATATATATATATATATACACACACTTTCATGGCACCCTAGAAATTTATCACTGTATTTATGTCATTCTTTGGTACTTGGATTCAAATCTCGACTCTGACATTGCTTAGCTAAATGACTTCGGTCAAGTTATTTGGTTTCTCTGTGTCTCGGCTTCTTCATCTTTACAATGGGGAAATAATATTCTTTTCATAGAATTGTTGGGATTAAATCAGTTAATACAGGTTAAGTGCTTAGAACAGAGCCTAGTACAGAGTAAATGTTCCATAACTGTTAGCTATAATCATTAATGATCTGAACTGACAAGATATATTGATTTAGGTGGCTGGAGTGCAGAGCAAAACTGACAGAGAGGTGACTCTGATCCTTCAAAGCACTTATGTTTTTAGGGCCACAGTGTAGAAATGCCATCCCACGAGGCTGTGATGTAAACAGAAGTCATCAGGAAAACCTTTATCAACCTTTTCCTCCCTTCTGGTCTAGGCCTGCAGGACAACCCATGGTTCTGTGACTGTCACATTTCCAAAATAATGGCATTGTCAAAAGTTGCTGACCCTGTGGTAGTACTTCTTGATCCACTGATGGTTTGTAGTGAACCGGAACGCCTCACAGGGATTTCGTTTCAGCGGGCTGAGCTGGAGCAGTGTCTGAAGCCATCAGTGATGACCTCGGCCACCCAGATCACGTCTGCTCTGGGCAGTAATGTTCTGCTGCGGTGTGATACCACTGGCTACCCTACCCCGCAGCTCACCTGGACCAGACCAGACAGCTCGCCAGCTAATTATACAGGTATCTTCTTAATTCAGGCCTTTGAAACAAGAAGTTTACAAATGACTGAACTTAATCTTATGTTTTTGTATGATTTGAGATTGGCTGGTTATTTCTAATAAAATAGGCTAAGATTGTTGAATGGAAGAAATTTGAAAAGTATACTTTATTGATTAATATTTTCCTCAGTTTGTCTGATTAACTATGTAGATGAAATTAGACAATCTGATTTCTTTCTTAGATGGAAAACAACATGACGCAGTGGATGGATGGTTGCAGATAAAGCCTTTGTCTTTATCTTTCCTCCATCATCTTGGATACTGCTCACTTTAAAATGTATAACAATTACAATTTCCTTAAGGGAATTTCAAACAAGTTTCTTATTTTTGAATGATTATTCAAATAATAAATTACAGAGGAACTTTATTATGAGGCAAAAAGTATAATTTTTAAAAATATCGATTACACAGGTTTTTAGATCCTACTATGACCAAATCAGTGCTTTGGCCTTAGTTTCAATAGTGATATTCTGATGAGTAAAGGGATATATTTTTCAAATTCTTCCAAATTAAATTTAAATTGAGGCTGAAATAATGAAACCTGATAGAATTAAAAACAAAAGTCAAGGCCTAAGCCCACAGTTTAAGGCAGTGAGTTAAATTTGAAGCTACTGAAATACCACTCTGTGCATATTATTATTCTTCAGAAAGCTTCAGAAATCAAGACAGAAAGGAAATATGTTCAGATTTTAGTGTTTAGGAAATTAAAATTCCAATTTTGCAAACACTATGTATTATTCCATAAATAAAAACCTCATTGTTTACTTGTTTATCTAAATTAAATATACTGTGAAAGCTAAGAATAGAAATTATGACTCCTCCATGCCAGAAAATGGTCCACTATGCCTTCTGACTATGTGGATAGTTAACACTTTATTACAATGAAAAAGTATTTTGAGAAATATTTAAGTAAGGTCTTGTGATAAACATTTTACAGAATCACAGTGGGTTAAAATTGGAAGGGATATTTGAAATCACTTTGTCTTATCCCCTTATTTTAAAAATGTGTAAACAGAGGCCTAAAGACACTAATTGGCTTGTCTAGAATCACATACTACTTAGTAAACAAAAGTTTACTAAGGCCAAAGTTTCTTAATTCTCAGCCCCATGTCTTTTTAAAATACTATTTCCCATAGAAACTTCATGGCACCCAGAATGTCCTACACTTCCATATAAACCATTTACAGAACCATTATCTGCAATCAGAGACTTGCAGCATGCCATTTCCCTCTTGGTTTATGTGAGAGGTACGCGTGTAGAACCAGAAATTGTTGCCTTTTGAGTTGGCATGTTGCGTGAATCTTTTCTTTCTTTTATCTCACAGATTATGCATTTTTCTTTCTTCCAGTAATTCAGGAATCTCCAGAGGAGGGAGTCAGATGGTCCATAATAAGCTTGACAGGCGTTTCTTACATGGATGCTGGGGATTACAAATGTAAGGCCAAAAATTTGGCTGGGATGTCAGAAGCTGTGGTTACTGTGACAGTGGTTGGTGTTGTCATGATCACCGTATCATCAGAAACTTCTGAAAGAAGAACTGGGGATCACCCTGAGCAAGAGGTCCAGCTGGGATCTAGAACATCTGCAACTCTACCTGGTTCATCATCGTCTCCCTGGCCTTATTCCTCCTCTTCTTCCTTCCCAGCTTCTTCCACTTTTCTTCCTACTTCTACTTCATCGCCTCCCTCCACTGCTTCCTTCTCCTTATCTCCTTTCTTCTCCTCCATTGTTTCTTCAGCCACAACTCCAAGCACTAGAATATCTACAAGCACTACCATGGCCAGCCGTCAGCCACTCCACCCAGATGGGAAAAGAAATGTCAAGGTGGAGATGGGTAGCGGTAAGCTTCCCCCAGCTAGTGCAAGTAAAAGAGAAGAGTTGGCATTGTTGGATCAAGCCCTGCCGATGGAAACGAATGCCACAATAGAAAATCTCCAGGTAGTCAGCGAAACCGAAGAAAGCGTGATCTTGATGTGGAACACCATTAACACCACGCAGAATTTGGAAGTGACTGTGTTGTATTCCAAGTATGGTGAGAAGGACCTGCTACTGCTTAATGCAGACTCCAGCAAGAACCAAGTCACCATAAGTGGCTTGTTGCCTGGTTGGCAATATATAGCATGTGTCTGTCCAAAAGGAATGCCTCCCCAGAAAGACCAATGTATCACCTTTTCTACTGACAGAGTTGAAGAAGAAGGTGATTCTCAAGGGTCTTTCCTTATGGTGGTGAGTGGTGCTGCCTGTGTTGTTGTCTTGCCATTGATTTTTTTCCTGTTGTACAAAGTTTGCAAACTTCAGTGTAAGTCAGACTCCCTCTGGGAAGATGATTTGGCGAAAGAGACTTATATCCAATTTGAAACGCTGTCCCCCAGGTCTCAAAGTGTAGGGGAACTTTGGACGCGAAGGCCCAGAGACGATTCAGAAAAATTGCTGCTTTGCTCTAAGTCAAGTGTGGAATCTCATGACTTTTAAAAGTGAGGGTTCTAGAGCAGAGTATTATTGCTAAGGTTTTACAGCTCAGGCAAATGTGAGCTCCACAAAATTTCTTTCACAAAATTAAGGATCTAAGGGTATATAGTTGACCCTCTGTTTGGAAGACTTTTGGACACTTTCATATCCTTCATGAAAATCACAAATGGAGTGTTTTAAGTGTGCTTTAAGAAAATCATGAGACTTCTGAACTGAAAAGACAAATAAGTTTGATTTTTGTTGTGAAGAAAATGTCCACAGAAATAATTTTCAAGGTAGTGCTAAGTAAGTTAATAATATATTTTAGGATAATGTTTTAGTTCTTAAAAATAAATTCATGTGAAAATAGTCATAAAAAGTAAACTCTGAATTTTAAAAAGATAGTTTTTTGGGCAGTAAAGAAAGTTTAGTATAATGAGCTAAGCCTTGATGTTCACTCTTGTTCATAGTGCTTTACGGCATTTGCTGTGCACATTTGCTGCCATTGCCTTGTAGGTGAGAGTGGAATAGTACAGAATTTTGCATTCACTAAGGTTAAATGCAACCCCAAGGACAGGGAGAGCTCTAGCTCTTGGTACCATTATGCATTGCAACACGGTATAGTGGTATTTATATTGCAAGGAAGAAAACATTTTTCCTTAGAAATATAGGTACTAGCAAAAATAAGTTTAAAAAGAGGATCATGGAATAGTAAGGCCATTTTGAAGATAGTAACTGTTGCATTCTAATACATCTGCTAACAGACTGTATGGGGTCTTTTTAAAAAATGTGCTCATTTTAAAACAATCTCTTTAATATTTTGTTATGTACTCTTCTTTTCCCCTTCCCTCTTTTCTTCTCTCCCTCCCTCCCCTTACTTCCTTCACTTCTTTTTTTTCCTTCTGCTTTGTCAGAAGATATTCAGGTAGCAAAGGAACACAGCTAAAGTGTTTGTCTTTTGCCATGTTATATTTTGATTACCTGGATAGAGGGAAGAACTTTGAAAGTCTTTTAGATCCCAAAAGGATGTTTTAGGATTTTGAAAGAGCAAATTCAGTGGATTTATTTAGTCAAACTCTACGTTAAAAACATCAGGGAAATTGAATTGAAGTGGGTCACGTGATTAGATAGGAAAGGGGCTTCATAAATAAAATTTAGTTTTTTAAAAGAAATTTTTTTTCACCATATTTACTAAAGATTATATTCCCTTTACATTGAAGATTTTGGAGTGTAGAACAGATTTATACAGGTGTGTCAGGAGTCCTGAAATATGCTGAGAAGCAAGTTCTATATTTTATATAAGAAACAAATTGGCTTTAATTTGTTTGTACCACATTGTGGAAATTATAACACAAGCAGCTGCAGAATGAAAAACTGCTCATTCCAAATGGCATTTAATTAAAAGAAAAAGAGAATTCTAGTTTAGCCATAATCTGCGTATTAGAAGAAGACAAGCTTGGAGGGATGGCCTGCTCAGAACTCCCAAACTTCCCCTTCTTGTCTCCTTTCCTTTCCTTTCCAGCCTCTTTGTCCTTGGTGCTTTTATCACTATGTGCATTGTCTAATGATCTAACAGCTTTTAATTCAGTATTCATTGTTAGGATTTTTTGTTTGAAAAATACCTTTTTTTAAAAATTTTTAAAAAATTTTTTTGTGGTACGCGGGCCTCTCACTGCTGTGGCCTCTCCCGTTGCGGAGCACAGGCTCCGGACGCTCAGGCTCAGCGGCCATGGCTCACGGGCCTAGCCGCTCCGCGGCACATGGGACCCTCCCGGACCGGGGCACGAACCCGTGTCCCCTGCATCGGCAGGCGGACGCTCAACCACTGCGCCACCAGGGAAGCCCGAAAAATACCTTTTAAAGACAGTTTTGTGTTTAACTTCAACTTAGATAATTTATTTTAAATTTAATGATTACAAAAATGTGCATTTCTTTACTCTAAAGACATCATGGAATTTCATTGCCATATTTAAAAGGCTCATATAAACAGACTGCCAAAATACTACCCCATTAGAAATAGTGTGGGAGAATGTTACAGACTACTGAGCCAAAAGACATCCAAATTGTACAAAGGCAGGTTATTTGTCAAGAAAGGAGACTTGGACCATCCTAATGAGATAAATTACTGACTGCTCTCATAATTAAAGTCAAGTGAAGCCTGGACTTAATTTTGCCAAGTGAAGAAAAGGTAATTGGTGGTGTGAAGGGGATAGAAACAGCAGGAGAAAGCACCTTTGTCATCCTCAACTTGGACTTGGCACACGAGGTGAGTTGCAAGTAATTTGTTACTCATAGTAAGATAAATTAAATTATAAATCATCTACTTTCTAAAAATACATACGTTTGAACGTAGTCAAGGTTATCCTGATGATATCATTGCTCTTATGTTCTTACAGTATGCTTCCTTGAGTGGGAGAGAAAGGTTGACGTTATAGCAAGTGGCATGGAATTCCACATAAGCAACAGCCCGTTTATCAGTGTCACCATATGCATTGTGAAGAGCACTCATAAATGATAGATAGCAATATATGTGGTAATTAAATATGATTACAATATTTTACTTTCAGACAAAATATATCTGAGGTTGTAAAACTCAGGATACATGGTGAGGGTGTGTCACATGTGAGGCTATCATCAGTGATGTGCTATGACATAAAAGATGTTGAGAACTCCAAGCAAATAGTTTATAATGGCCAGAAAAGCAAACCCTAAATAGAGTCAGACAGGTGCCTTGGGAAACTTTTGCAAAAAGTTCAAAGAAAAAAAATTTTGACCCAGGGACTTGAGTCTCAGAAAGGGATTATGGCTAACAAAGAGAGATTTAAACACACACACACACACACACACACACACACACACAAACTGCTGAATAATTATGAAATAATTCTAATAAAATGGAAGAAAGCTTAGGAAAGCTGAATGGCTATTTAGTAATCTCAAATTTCAAATGATATATATAAAAGGTATAAAGAAGGAAGAGTGGCCAAGGATGAGCATAGAAATTAGCAAATTTATTATAAAAGTGTCATAAATTAAGTCCCCAAATAAATCAAGGCCAAAAAAATGGTAAATTTGACCAGAAGGAACTATAAGCCTTGTTTTTTTTTAGTCAAAAATAACAAGGAAATAATAAGTCTACTGCTTAGAGATGATAACAGAAGGTATATCAGAGAAGTAGCAGAATCATTTAACTCCTGTTTTTCCTTCTCTCTTTCCCATCCCTTTCTTTCCCTCTTTCCTTCCCTTTTCTAGATGGGTTTTTAAGCTGAATATGGAGAACAAATTATGAGAAGTGGGAATTTCAGCCCAAGATAGATAAGGGATTAGTAAACTAACTCCAAGGTATTTAAAATGAGACCAGATATATTAGGTACCAGGGTGGTAACAGAATTTTCAGCCATAATCTCAGAGCTACTGTTTTTGAAAAGTATTTGAAAAGTCATGACAAATAGGAGAAATACTGCAAGACCACAGATGGGTAAGTTTCATCTTTATTTTTAAAGAGGGGACTAGGGTGGATTCTGGAAATTATAGACAACTTGATTCATGTTTACAGATTTGACAATAGGTTGTTAAAAGGCTTGTTTTTGAGCATGCAGAAATGAATGTTATGGTCATTAGGAGTCAACAAATGTCAACCTAGGAAAAGGTTTGATAAACTAAAATGGTTTATTTTTAGGTTACTAAGCTGATAGATAAAGGACTGCTTGAAAATCGAATAGCAGCTTGTTACTGGTGTTTGTTTTGACTTGTTGGAGTAATATAGGTTGCCTCCTCTCAATAATGTCTAGAAATGGCTTTATATATTACGAAAAATTCTCTAGTAGAATGCCCTTACCCTATTCAATTCAGTATTTTTATAAGTGACTGGATGAACATAGGCTTCTCGACTCTGCAGAGGACATGAAAATAAACAGGGTATCTTATTTTGGTGCTTCTCAAACTTTTCCTTGGAATATTCCTAATTGAAGGGGAAAGTAAAACTGTATGGCTGGAGAGACCAGGGCAATTGTCCTAAGTATCTGGCAGAAGAGAGATATTTCTGTGAATTATTCTGTCTTAATTAAAACCCATGTGAATTTGCATTCTATGGCATAATTTTTTAAAATATAAAATAACTCTCCCTCTCTCATTTCTTTAGGGAAAATTGACATTTCTGTGCCTTTGAACATCTTGGTACAGAGTACCCCAGAGATACTCTCCTTATCTTCACCCAAGTCAGTTATAAAAACCAGATAGAATAGGGTAAAGGACATATTTGAGGATATTTGAATTTGCATATAAGAACTGAATTATATTTTTAAAAATAGGGTAAAGGACAGAGACCTGTGGCTTTCTATTAGAGACTATTTCATGTAGTATGAAACCATCAGTGAACATATTTATATGATAGGTGAAGGAACCAAATCTTGAAAATTATCTTAGTAAGATGGCATATTAAAGCTAACAGGGATAAATGAAGATTTTGTGTTTGGATTAGAATAAATATGGGCATTCAAGTAAAAAAAAATCTGTGACTTTACTTGATTACAATCATTCTATGAACCAATAGAGTTATGTACAGTAATTGCTAAAAATGCTAGTGTTAAGTTACTTCAATATAAGTAATAGATCAAGGAAGGTAAGAGTTCTGCTGTATTCTACATTAACAGACCATTTCTACAGGATCAGGTTTAATTTTGGATGCCAAATTTAAATAATTATGGACCTTGATAACAACTATGGACTATCCATAGGAAGGTACCTAAGATCACCAAGCATCTGGAAATTTTATCATGCAAGAAAGCGTTAAGGACTGGAGCAGGCTGTGGGGAGACCAGACTAGCTTAGTGCAGCACAAGGCACTAACTCTTTCCCTGGAGCACTATGCTTAGGAGCGGCTGCTTAGGTTGTTAAAATGGAGGCTACTGGGTTCTACAGGTAGAAATTGAAATTCAGCAGCCTGGGGCCTTGGAAACCGCAATTTGACACTCAACCCAGGGGAATGATGCAGGTGATGTAATGACTTTGAGAAACACTGTTCTATGCAATGGATACAGAAGCAATACTGCAATTACAAAGAAGCAGAGTGGCTCCACATTAAAAACAAACAACTTCTTTTTTTGCCAACAACCAGCGTTAGAAAACAGTGGAGTAAGACATGTTATTATAATATTACTCAGGATGTTCATGGATATTCCAGAAGTCAGGAATGATGCAAAGACACAGTGAAGGACATTGTGGACTAAAAGTTCAATCATTTGGACTATAGCAGAAAGAAATGAAAATTAATAAAATTGTATCTTTTGGTTTCTGTGGAAAGAGAATGCTAACATTTGTATTAAGTAGCCTCTTTTTGTTTAATGATAATAAAATTGATTTTGTATGTAAACATATGAGCCTTGGTTTGTTTAAATAGTGGAAAAATTAGGCTATAAACTATTGGATAAGTTTGTGTTGTCCTCTTTTTATACAATTAATTTCAACTAAGTGGTTGAATGAGGGAGTCATTATAATTTTTCTTCTCCTTGCTATAGGGTATAACACTGATGACTCATTCCTTAACTATTCAGGGGAAAAAAAACCCAATGTTTTTTATGTATTATTTTGATATAATTTATATACACAGTTAAGTCCTTACAGAAAAGTAGCAATTTTCCTATCATTGCCATTATTTTAATATACCATTTATTAAGTGTGCTAGTTGTTTTTAAGGAATTTCCCAAGTGTTTAACATTGTGACAGTAGTAAGGAGTTAAATTCTTGAAGTATTGTAGTTACATAGGTTTCCATTGATGCTGAATTCCTTATCATATTCTCTGTGGTTCCTAGGA